ACATGTACAAGTAATTCTACACCTCACCCAGCACTATTCCTTGGTGAACTCCATCTTACAGCAGAGCTCTTACCGGCCAGGAAGCAGTTTTCCTGCGTTAGGAAATGTGACCTTTGTCAGGCTAAAGTGACCTCCCCTGTGTGCTCTTTTGTTTAGATGTGCTGTACAAATAAACATATATCAGGGGAAGCATGTACATAGCAACCGCCCCCACCCCATAAACTGTCAGCAAATTTCCCAAATGTCCTTCGGCATGCTCTCTTTATTTTCTCCTGATCTCACCACCTACATAGACAATGAACCCCTTGTTGAGCCATTTCCTCAATGACAACCTGAGCGCAGTATGTCACGTTCAAGTGTACTAGCCCAGATCCGAGCGCCACTTCTGATTAGAGGCACAGATTGTGCTTTGTTGGTTTTCTTTTTTGCGTTTCAGTATTGTATCTATAAAATGTTTATGAGGAACAAGCCCTGCAATAATGCGGCGCCCTGCGACTGCCAAAGAAAAACAACTTAACGAGCAAATGAAAGAACATTTGCATAAACGAGAGAGATGAAAATGAACTGTATGAGAGAGCGTGTCAGTAAGTTTGTGAGCCGCACAGCGCCCTCGATTAACACCTCCGCCTGTTTTTCCTTATCGTCCACGGGGAGGGGTTGGAGTTGAAGAGTTTAGAGCTTGTCCTGACAGCTCTGTTGACCTTGGGACCTATCTGGTGTAATCGTTTCAGCGGTGCGCCGTTTCACTGCAGAGAGTAGCGGCTGAGATCGTCGCTGACACTTGTCTTAGGCAGTGGTCCAGCAGGACCACGCCTCGCTCCTCTCAGAAATAGGAGGAATAGATTGTGGAAGAGATGCACGGATGGTTGTGGTAGGGGGAGATGGGAGATTCAGAGTAAAAAAAAAAAGCAGTTAAAGGACTTAAAGGAGTGACAGAGAGGATGCTGGGAAAGTGAGGATGTCAAGTGTTTGGTAGAAAATCACCTGAGGGCTGAGACTGATGATGAGAGTGATACTGAGGAGATGCGACCACTGCAAACAGTTGGGATGTGGAGGTGCTTGCACACTCCACACTCACAGCTTACTGTAAGTGAGCTTGTGAGTCTCTGCTCTGCTGGAATCTACACCCAAAGACATACTGCACATACAGTGCACTAGCAGAACTGACAACTTTTAATAAACATTACAATGTTTGTACTGCTGCTTTTCTCTCTCTTGCTGAGTTGCTTTGTTGCAGCCTGACCCGGGTCGTGTACTATTTGCATATTGTTTGAATACTCATATATTACCTGCTGAGAGTAGCTCAACTTGTGGAAGCTTAAACTGAGTTTCACATATTTTTCAGCTGACTGTTCTACAACCACACTTTCTCCTGTGGTCCTGTGTGTTAACATAGTACAAAACAGGCAAGTCAGGCTGCAGTTTCTACACGTGTTAGAGTGGTATGCATGGATCTAGAGCCCAACCAATAAAGTACTTTTAAGACTGATACCATTACCAATAATTGGTCAATTCAATTCAATTGTTTCATTTAAATAGCATCAAATCACAACCTCAAGGTGCTTTATATTGTAAGGTAGATACTCTACAATAATACAGAGAAAACCCTTACAATCAAGCTACTCCAATCACAGTGACAGTGGGAAGGAAAAACTCCCTTTTAAACTTGAAGAACTATGCGGCAGAACCACCTCAGGGAGGGGGAGCCGTCTGCTGTGATCAGATGGGGGTGTTTGGAGGAAGATAAAAATGAAATATTCCAACATACGAAAAATAAACAGATTACAGCAGGTTGTTGTGTTTACATTAGATAAACAAATAGTTAGCCAATACCCACTAATATCAGATCACTAATAAACTGGTTGGGGTCTACTTCTGGAAGGTGTCACTGGCTCAAAATAAATAGTTTAAAATATTCCCCTTCTTTCCAAAGCCAAAAATGCATTAACAAGTTGTAAAGAATGGTTTAAGGTGGTTTAAGGTTGCCCTGATCCAGTATTTGACACTGGCCAGCATCATTAGACTGAATATAGAGAAAAAAACGTGCCGTCTGATTCATTAGCTTTAACTATCATTTAAATATATATTCCATAACACAGCATAAAAAAGTTCCATAGGTAAGGATGGCAAAACAGCCAACTAAAATGTATGACTCTTGTGTGCAAAGGATAAATAAAAGAAGGAGCAGTATTATTTACGGTCATGTTACTGTACAGGCTGTATTTCTTCATTCAGGGGAATAAAATACTTATTCCACAGTTTGAGCACGATGTTTTCTCCACGGCGAATTAAGCAAAGTGCATGTTAACAATGAGTCAGTTTGTACACTCAAGCACATTTCACAGTTGACAAAGCTGTCAGTACTGCTTGCAGCACATAGTAATAGTAGAGACAGAATATTGCCCATACCTTGATTTCAGTACTCATGAAAAATCAGAAATCCACACTCTGTTGCTTTATTAGAATTAGCATGTAGTTCACCCAACAGGTTGGTTTTCAACCTGTAACATAATGTTAATACTCAAAGTGTTTGAAATGAAATACATTCAAGTGTTCCTCAAAACAATGTTTCTGTCTTCTACATGGTAGAAAGTGATGAAGATGCACCCCAGCCCCAGTCTGA